ACATTGATCACTTTATCTTGATGCCATCAATCCCATCATCAATACTATGATCTAACACCCAAAAATGAATAAAATAGTTTTTTAAAAAGTGTGACATTTGTGACCCCTGAGACCTTCCCCAGGTTTTATGAGTACAGCCCTTCACCAGTAGCCACGTTTTTATTAGTATTCCTGAGTGAATGAGCTGCCCGTAGAGAGTTTCTTCTGCTGTAAGGGCAACCCCGGAGGCCTGAGATCAAGGTCCTAGCAGGGGAGGATCCAAAGCGTGAACATTGATAAGCGAATACAAATGAAGCTGACCTAGCAGGGGAGGATCCAAAGAGAAGAAACTCTAAGGGTCCGCCCGCTAGGTAGCTGACTATATACTGCTTGTCCGTAGCTGCCGCTGTCGGGCACAGAAGGCTTGGGCGGCGTCGCAGGCGAGGTCCCAGGGCGACCGTCGGGAGGGCGTTGACGGATCGGTGATTGTGCGGGCAAGATGGAGGGCCGGACCGGAGTCGGAACCGGAGTCGGACCGGAATCGGGCGCGTCTCCGGGCCGAAAGGGAGGTTCCCCTGACATATATAAACAACTTTCATTAAGTGACCTATAGTCACAGTGCAATGACTATGTTATTACTGGCTAATCACTAACTGATCCATACCTGATATAGTAATATATCCCTCAGTAGACAACTTACAGAGGTAATTTAAGTGTACCTGAATGATCATATCAATATCCTTGATAATAAATTCTTATTAGTATCCCTCCCTACATCATTTCATGATGATTCATCACATATATTGATGCTGCAACATCTCCCCCAATTCTGCATGAATTCAGATGATTGTTATACTGATAGGTAGCCAGTAATCTACACTTGAAATATTCTGATGTCATCATAGTTCTATATCTTGAGATTATGATATTATACTGCTTTTCTCTTAGTTTTCATATTTCAAATTTGATCAGACACAATGATCCCTCAATATCTCACTGGAAAACTCATGGATAAGCATAATCCAAGTTGCATTCCAGTCTAATAGATACCCATCATAGATGTGGGAGGCCCCCATAATTTTATGTATCATATCTACCTATATATATGAGAGATATCCTGTCATACCAATCCCCCTATAACTCACTCAGAAGTGAGAGTTCCCTAATGAAATAAGAGTAGAAAGCATACAGAGGGGTGCCCCTATGAGATTATATTATTAGTGTCAGCAAGCAGCAGTCCCCGACTTTCAGATCAAGAGACAGCATTTGGATTGAAACAAGAGGTAGCTGTCAGGGGTGTAAGGGGAGCATGTGATGTGACAGCTGTGACTGATCACATGACTGGTCCGTGCGCAGATAGCCCTGTACTTAAGTAGTTGGCCGTGGGGCTGTTCCCCCGGCTTTGGTATCAACTAGGCACCTGAACCCTCATCCCCTGACAGCATACCAAAGCCTCTATATTGACTCTGGCACTCTTCTAGCCCCAGTTGATCCTCTCTATCTCTTATATTTGTCCTCATCCTACTGTGCTTGCCTGCTCTTCCCTAATGACGACTTCTTGTCAGACTGCAGGTCAGGCCGTGCAAGGTCCTCTCCTAAGAACACGTGCCTGGAACAGAACAGACGGATAATCGGGCCCGCGAGTACGGCGAGCGGGGGTAGATCGAAACCGAAAGGGCCCGTGAACTCGGGCCCTTGTCGTCTGCGGTGGTCGAAGGTTCGAATCGGGTCGTGTCGGGCCCGATAAGTTGCTGGCACCTCCTTGCACAGAGTAAGGTAGTTCTTTAGACGATCTAAGCGATAGAGTACATGGTACACTATCACGCCTTATATACGCAGGCCCGCAAAGGGGTAATCGGACACCCTGGCCTCTCCTCCCCTCCTCTCCCGTTCCTGGCGGCAGAGGGGACGATCGGACATCCCTTGCAGGCCAGGCGCTACTCCTAACCTCCTAGCACTCCTCCCCAACCCCTGGTGTCGAGTTGGGCTCGGCAACGGCTCTACGCATCGTTCTCGGTCACGTGCTTCCCACGTGTGCGTTCCTCCTACTGGGGCGCATGTTCCCCGTCGTCACGTGCTGCGTGTTACGGGCCCGCGGTGGCCCGACACCAGCGCCCGGAGCGGACGGGCCGGGTCTTATCCGTGACACTTCTGGTGTCCCTGTCGACCTGTATTCGTACTGCCTGCTCCTGCAGAGCGAAATTACTCGCCTCACCGACCGTCTAGACCGCCTTGAGTATGGTCTGCCTGCTCCATCCCCTGCGTTCCCTTCCCCTGGTCCCACGTTCCATGGTGTCTGGGATGGCAGTCATGTAAAATCACAGAAACTTGTTCCAGTCGTGACGCTCGGCTTGGGGGCTCGGGGACTCGAAAGGCGCAAGAATCTGGTGGTCGGGGGCTACACCAGCAACCTGCCCTCAGCGGAGCAATCTCGGCACTGGTTGCGATGCGAGCTCGGTGGTGGTTGGGGTGTGAGAAGTCCTATCAAATGATGATGTAGACTACAAGCAAATAGCCACATCCGAATATTGATGATGGGGTCCGAAAGCAGAAGCTGTTATGTAGGGGTCGTTCCGAGTAAGTATGTTGCATTTGTGGGTGATATAGTCAAAGCAGAGGACAGGCTGAGCAAGAAAACAGCGCAAAGGCATACTACTACTACTAGTTATTGCACACCATCCCCCCCTCCCCATCAGTCCTTCCCCACGCGCTCCATTTCTTTCTCTATCACCTCCCCGACCTTCCCCGCGTCCACATACGCCCCCAGATCGCCCAGCACCGCGTGCCGCACCGCGCCGATCGCCACGAGCATCTCCACGCCGACCCTCCGGCCCTCCTCCGCCGTCAACGGGTGTCCCCGGAGCGCGAGATCGCGGATGGCCGGCGCGCGCCAGGCGGGGATATCGTATGTCTGCGCGAGCGCGAGGCGGTCGACGGCGGAGAGGGCAGATGAGGAGAGGTGGTGGATCGCGAGCAGGACGACCGCGGGGTGGCGCGGGTGCGCGACGGGGAGGACGGCAAGCCAGTTGGCGGCGGACTTGGGTTCCAGTTGGATGTAGGTGCTGTATAGCCGTCAGTAGAGCGTCAGATGGAGGAGGACTACATGCGTTGGGTACAGGATGGAGAGCAAGCTGTCAACAGCTTCTTTGTTTTGGCGAGCGTAGAACGCCGCGTCGAAATCCGGGAAGAGGTACGCGTGCACTCTGTACTCCGTGCCCTCGACCTATCTTCCACATCAGCACTCCGCCCAAGCACAATCTGTAAGAAAACTCACCTCAAATGTGAGGCTCCCGTCCGGGAACCAATACCGCGCATGCCTGCCCGGCCGGGGCGAGCGCGTCCGCGACCTTGATTTCGGCCTGCTGTAGTAAGCCCGCGGCGGCGACCGCGACCGCGACCGCGAAAAGACGGGCACGTGGTGCGGCTCCGGCTCCGGCCTGGAATCCGCCGCGCGACCGGGATCGGGACGATCTGCTGGGGCTGGATCACTGGCAGCGGGCCGGGACGCGGCGAGCGCGAGCGCGTCCGTCCAACATCAACGTCCAGGAAGTGCGGCGACCGCGACCGGGAGCGCAACCTAGGCCGATCAACACCCGGTCCCCGGTTGAAGGCGGGCCGCGGGGACACGGCCCCAACGACGGGCTGCGGCTCCGGCGCGTGGGGCGGCCGTGACCGGCTGCGACTGCGGCGGCGGCCCGACGACGACCGGATGTGGGACAGACGCCTGCTGGGGGGCGTAGGCTGATCATTCAGAGGTATTCGCCGCGGGCTTCGGCTCCTGCTTCGGCTCCGGCCCCGCGACGGCGACGGCGAACGTGACCGTAGCCTGGGCTTGTCAACGCCCGGTCCCCGGCTGACAGGCTCCGGCGCGTACCATCTGCGGGACGGTGACCTGCTGCGACTGCGGCGGCGCGGAGAACGCGACCGCGCTCGGCCGGCGGCCTCGACCGGGACGGGTGCTGCGGCGACGGGCGGGGGCCGGGCTCCGGGTCCGGCGCCGTCCGGGACTCGGGCTCGGCGTCCACTCTCGGGTTCTGCTCCGACTCCGGCCGCGACACAGCTGGCCCGCCGCCGCCGCGCGCGCGCTCGAGCTCGAGCGCGACCACGGCCAGACGGGCTCATGCTGGGGCGGTGGTGGGGTGTGCACTGGGGATGGGACGGTGACTGGGACTGGGCCGGGGCCGGGGCCGGGCGAGTCGGGGCTGCGGGGAGTATACGAGCGGGAGCGGGAGCGCGGACGGGGAGGCATAGCCAGCGGCCATCCCGCCCATGGCGCCCCGACGATCGCCGTCGGGGCATATGGGACGGGGACATCTTCGGTCGGCGCCGGCGCGGGACTCCGGCTTCGAGAACGTGAACGAGAACGAGAACGGGAGGGTGAGCGGGAGCGTGATCTAGCAAAGGGCTAGCAAGAAGGACACGCGCGTGCATAGTGGGATGCTTACCTGTCACTGGCGGCTGTGACTGACGCAGTAGGACTCGTTACAGCCTCCACAACAACAACAGACTCTGCACTCGCGCCAGACGAGTCCGAGGCTCCTCCAAGTCTCTCCCTGGAGCGCGACCGCGACGGTGAGCGGCTACGAACTGGCGTGTCTATCGGCATCGTGGGTGGGGGCAGAAGACAAGACGCTGACGCGTGACGTGACGCGTCGCCGGGCTTTAAATAAATACGGCAGCGCCGGCGCCTATCGGGCACAGCGCGGGCACGCGGCGCGTCCACAGACGGCGTTCGCTGCTGGGAATGGAGAGCGGGAGTACAAAGTGGACCGAATGACGTGTAGAAACACGCATGTGGGTGCCCGGGCCATCCCCGTTGCTTTCATCTCCACGATTGACCGAGTTTGCGATAGCGGCTGGAGCGGGCTGGTGGAAAACACGCCGCGCACTATCGCCCAGCAAGTCATCATCATGATATCTCCCCTATATTCGACAGCAAAACGACTCGACAGCAAAACAAGCAAAACAGCAAAGCAATCAACAGCTCCCCTTCCTGAGGCTTCCCCTCCTCACGCCGCTCCTCAGTCCTTCTTCACCCGCTCCACCTCCCGCCCAATCAACTCCCCGACCTTCCCCTCATCCACATACCGCCCCAGATTCGCCAGCACCTCCTGCTTGACTGCCGCAATAACCACCAGCATATCAACACCAATTTTCCGGCCCTCCTCCACGTTCAGCGGCTCGGCACGGAACGCGAGCTCGCGCACCGCCGCGATGCGCCATGCCTGGATGTCGTAAGTTTGGCTGAGGGAGAGGCGGTCGACAGCGGATAGAGATGAGAAGAGCGCAGGGGCGGAAAGGTGGTGGATCGCTAGCTGGACAATTGCGGGGTGGCGTGGATGAGCGATGGAAAGGACAGCGAGGCAGTCGGCGACAGTTTTGGCTTCACTGTCAACATAGTTCCTACACCCACGTAAGCAACGCATCGACAGCAGGAAAGACACGCACGTTGGGTAGAGAATAGAAAGGAATCTGTCCACCGCGTCTTTTTCCTGCGCAGCATAGAACGCCGCGTCGAACCCCGGGAAGAGGTGCCGATGCACCTTATATTCCGTGCCCCCGACCTATCTCCCCCACATCGTCAACACTGGCATATTCCCCGCAAACGAAACGCACCACGAACACACACCCCCCATCGGCAAACCAGAACCGCGCGTGTCGCGGCCGCTGGGCGTAGCTAGGGCCGGGCACTACGAACACTGACGGCCCCACAGGGATGTCTCTGGCAACTCTTCTTGGCGACCACGACCTGGACCTTGACCGCGAGCGTGAGCGTGACCGCCAGCGCCGCGCGCCTACGAGATATCAGCCAGCCAGCCATAATGATATAGCGAGCGACGCACCAACGGGAGGCAGCGTGTCGTCTGGCTCCGCTGCAGTCACCAACGCGTCAGGGTTAGAGGAAGACGGGACCGGGAAACGCACCGGTGCCGAAGAGCCTGCGCTCGAGCCCGCCCATGTGCATCGTGAAGGCGGGGGTGAGAGTGGGGGTGTGTGGGCAAGAGGCGGTGGCGTGTGAAACGCGAAACACGCGAGGGCGCGTATCAGGTGATGCGTTCACACGTGGCTGGCGGCATCGGGCCGTGCGCGTGCTTACATGGCGAAGGGTTGACATAACATAATGTTTAAACATAAGTACTGTAGTACGGGCAAATCGGGACAACAGATTCCCAAGGAATCGACAGCAAAACAAGCATATCACCAATCCCTGCCCTCCCGCCATCAGTCCTTCATCCGCGCAACCTCCCGCGCGACCAGCTCCCCAACCTTCCCCTCGTCCATATACTGCGCCATATTCGCCAACACCTCGTGTTTTACGGCCTCAATCGCGAGCACAGTGTCCACACCTATTTTCTTCCCCTCCTCCACACTCAGCGGTTGGGCCCGGAATGCGAGTTCGCGCACTGCCAGTGCAGCCGCGCGCCAGGCAAGGATGTCGTACTTCTGGGCGAGCGCGAGGCGGAGAGCGATGAGAAAAAGGCGGAAGAGGGAAGGTGGTGGGTGGCGAGACGGGCTATGTCGAGATGCCGAGGGCTGACGGGAGAAAGGTTTGGGATTCATATTGCATGAACATAATACTGTTTTCAAGTTGGGATAAGTCCGGCGTGGATAGAAAAGTGAACGAGCATACTGTTGAGTACAGCACCGACAACTCCAATCGACCGCTTGCCTCTTCAGGCGCGCGTAGAGCGTCGCGTCTAACTCGTCAGACAAACGACTGTGCAGCGTGCCGTTGACCTGAGTCACGGCATTGTGTCATTGGCTCGTGGATGAAGACTAGCGAAAAACGTGCAGCTCCCGTCTGCCGCGCGCTGTCTGAGCCTCGCAACAGCTGGCGAGTAGACGGGCCCGGGGACCACGGTCACGCGGGCCCGCGTGAAGCATGTCTTCTCGAATTCGGGGGGGGCAGCGACTTGGCCTAGCAGCTCTTTTTGTGTATCGTCCTGCTCAGCGTGTCAGCAACGTGTCAGCAAAACAAGCAAGCAATGACGGCGGCAGAGAGCGCACCCCGCGCGCTGCTGAACCGCTCGAGCCCGCCCATATGTACCGCGCCGTCCGGAGAGCTCCGAAGGTGGAAGTTCAAGGACAAGAGGTGCGGCGTGCGAACAAAACTGTCATAGAACTGTCATCTCGCCGGTCAGATGATCTGCGCGATTCCCATCAACTTCAAGTCCTCACCAGCATGTACGCCGGCGCTGTTCTTGACCTCAGGCGTGAAGTGACGCACGTCGCGGTTGGCAAAACTGGCTGCGGTGTGGCGCTGTCCGGTGCCTCTGTTGTGCTCCGCGATTCTCTCGGACTTGGAGCCCGGGCCGGACACATCAAAACACTCGTGTCAAATGTCTTGAATGGCAGATTGGCGCCCATCCCAGGAGGCATGCGGATACCACGCGCTTGCACGCACTTGTCCCTTGCTTCCCTCCCCCATCTTTGCTACACTGAAAGCATGCCAATGAGCTCAGAGCTTAAGGGTCTAAGTGCGAGTGTGATGAATCTGACTCTGTATGGTGAGTGCTCCCAGCCAACTCCCAGCTTGATGAGCCTGCACGCCCTGATTGTTTCCAGGTGGAAAAGGTGGTGCTGGCGGTCAGGCAATTGGAGCAGGAGGCACTGGTGGAGTTGGGCAAGGTCCACTGGTTCCAATAACTACCAATTCTCTCACAATTCAAAGGTGTGTTAATGTCCAACCTGTGTGAAATAATCTGACTGTTGTCAAGCTTAAGTGCACAGACACAATATGGTAACCTCTAGTACCTATCCTTTCATTTCAAGACTGATTGTGTGTTTAGATATAGATTTACAGCCCTATCTGGGATGCCCTCCCCCTTGCAAATTCTTCACTGGTCGTGAAGATATGTTGAACCAGCTCAAGGCTTGCTTTGGAGACAGCAGCAAGAAAGCATGTCATGTGGTACTCCATGGTCTTGGAGGAACTGGCAAGACAGAAATAGCCCTCAAATTCATTAGTATCTCTGGAGATAGGTATGGTCTAACAATAATAATGAGAGCTTGTACTTACCTAGGCAAAGATTTACAGATCAGTTCAAGATTGATGCAAGTAACCCAACTACAATCCAGGCAGGATATCTAGATATTGCTAGGGTCAAGAATTTGGAGCAGTCAATGGCTGCAGCACAGGACTGGCTCATCAAGCACAGGACTGAATGGATCCTACTTTTTGATAATGCAGATGATGTAAATGTCAACCTCAGATCTTACTTTCCTAGATGCTTGCATGGGAACATTCTTATAACATCACGCAATCCAGAAGTTGGAATCCATGCACAGGACTCTCTGCAAGTGGTTGATTTAAGTGCAACAGAAGCAACAAAGCTCTTGTCAGCAATTGCCCAGATCAATGACACAGCAGCAGCTGATAGTATTGTACAGGCAAGTTAATGAAGATTGTGCAATGAACTTGAGCTAATAATTAGTAGGAGCTACATTATTTTCCTTTAGCTATTGTTCAAGCAGCAGCATTTATTCGCCAGTCTCGTATTCTCAAACAGGCCCCTCAGAACTATATAGACATCTATCGGAGAAATAAGCCAACTCAGTGGAGGACAAGACCTACTCAAGCTCCCTGGGACTATGAGGAAACAGTTTACACCACATGGAAAATCAGTTTTGATAATCTTTCTCAGCCTGCACAGGAAGTGATGCAGATGTTCTGTATGATGCATTACAACAAAATTAAGGCAAGTATCTTCCAAAGAGCCTTTGAATACACAAGGTACATGGAATATGAAGAGAATGAAGAAGAAGAAGAGGCTGATTATCTGGAGATAATCTGCAGACCTGCAGAGATCTTTCTGTCTCAATTCCAGGATGCAAATGGAAACTGGGATAGTTATGGTTTTGAAGATACTTGTAGGCAAATAGAGAAGTACTCCTTAATAGCTGTGCAGGGCGACAGCTACTCTATCTATCCATTGGTGCAAGAATGGACTAGAGAAACCCTGGAAAATATCACTGCAAAGCAACAGTTGGTAACAGGTATACTGGGAATGGCTACTACTAGAACATCTGATCTAGAAACCCAATTGATATTGGCAATTCACTGCAGGGAATTAACCGGGGTGGTAAGGGATATACCATTGAATTTCCAGAGGAGTTTTGGATATATATATAAAATAGCTGGACTATTTCAGCAAGCACAAGCTGTATGGCAAGATGTAATAGCCAAATATGATAAATATGAAGTGAGGGATGAAGAAAGGAGACTTAATGCAGAGGCTCATCTGGCCGTGACATACAATCATTTGGGAGAGTATGAAAAAGCCTGCAAACTACAAGAGGAGGTTTTAGAGAAGTGTGATCATCTGCTTGGTGTAGATCATCCTGATACCCTCCGTGCTCAAGCCAACCTGGCAAGCACATATAGTGATTTGGGACAGTATGAAAGAGCCTGCAAACTAGAAGAGGAGGTTCTAGAGAAGCGCAGTCGTCTGCTTGGTGTAGATCATCCTCAGACCCTCCGTGCTCAAGCCAACCTGGCCCGTACATATAGTGATTTGGGACAGTATGAAAGAGCCTGCAAACTAGAAGAGGAGGTTCTAGAGAAGCGCAGTCGTCTGCTTGGTATAGATCATCCTGATACCCTCCTTGCTCAAGCTAACCTGGCAAGTACATATGGTGATTTGGGACAGTATGAAACAGCCTGCAAACTAAAAGAGGAGGTTCTAGAGAAGCGCAGTCGTCTTCTTGGTGTAGATCATCCTGAGACTCTCCTTGCCCAAGCCAACCTGGCAAGCACATATAGTGATTTGGGACAGTATGAAACAGCCTGCAAACTAAAAGAGGAGGTTCTAGAGAAGCGGAGTCATCTGCTTGGTGTAGATCATCCTCATACCCTCCTTGCTCAAGCCAACCTGGCAAGTACATATGGTGATTTGGGACAGTATGAAAGAGCCTGCAAACTAAAAGAGGAGGTTCTAGAGAAGCGCAGTCGTCTTCTTGGTATAGATCATCCTCATACCCTCCGTGCTCAAGCCAACCTGGCAAGTACATATAGTGATTTGGGACAGTATGAAAAAGCCTGCAAACTAGAAGAAGAGGTTCTAGAGAAGTGCAGTCGTCTGCTTGGTGTAGATCATCCTCATACCCTTCTTGCTCAGGCCAATCTGGCAACTACATACAGTGATTTGAGACACTATAAAAATACGATTGTCAATGGCACAAGTGAGCCCCAGAGTAACCGGCTGGCGAGTATATCAGATGAAGAGGAGGAGGAGGTGCAATATATTCCAAATAGCCATAATTAGAAGGGGGCCCTAAGGGTACAGACCGTACAGTCAGGGAGGCAGCAACCAAACAAAAGGCATAGAAACTCTTAACCAATATATACTTTGTGTGTTATAGTATCCAATAACTTATCAGATTGACCCTGCCCATAAATATATGAGCAATCTCTCTAAAAAGTAGAAATGACTTCATGCTAGTATTTGCTATATTATATCAGCTCAAGATGCTGATGAGAGGGAGGAGATGTTTCTTAGAAATGTTGAAGTACTCAGGCACAAAGGGTTTTCTTAGAAATTGTAATGTGGATATATTAATACACTTAGAAAATGAGCAGTAGAGTAGATTAATGATCAATCAAACTCTAACCAAATCAAATCCTAACTATTGTGTGTGAGTGAGTTCGGGGTTTCGAGTTGCAGGAAACAACTAGCGAATTTAAAGTTTACTTCAAAGAATTGTTGTTAATTATTTTGAGTTTGCTTTCAATTAGAATGAACAAAAACAAAGAGTTATGTGATTGTATTGATGGAGGAGCAATATGGCTCGACTCCCCTGCACCTGCAATATTAGTAACCTGCAATTTACCAGCACCTGCACCTGTTTATCCTGCACCTGCACCTGCAACTTAATCCTGCAATTTAGAGAGTTGATTTCCACAGCAAAACTGAATAGATGTGACGGCTGAGGTGTCACAAACTACCAGCCTTCTGGGGATTAATTTATTTTCTATCACAAAATACATGCAGCCTTATAGACCTAGTGGAACCAAATAACACCAAATAGCCTAAAATACTAATAATTCGACTTTCTGTGACTTTGTGTGACGTTCTATGCCTTATTTGGACGCTCTAGAACTTCGAGTCATAGTGGCTGTGGCTCTAGAACCTTCCAGGCGCTTCCCATGAGTCATGTTTCCTTATTAGTCCGTTGGAGTCATTCATGAGTCATACTCTTCCACAGCCTTCTGGGTGCTTCCCGGCTAGAAGCCTGCACTGCCTGGTGCTTCTTATGACTCCAAATGACTCTCCCAGTGAACCTTATCTGCGCTCTAGGGTCTAGATGAGTCCAGAACTTGTACAACTGCTTATAATTGCTTGTTTTGCATGTTTATGCATGTTTTTGTGTTCTGAGTGTGCAAACATTGAAAATAAAATTATTCCAGTGTTTAGGACGATTTTAGGCGTGGTCTATTTGCCTGCCTATCAATATCATACTATAAATAATGCTGAATAATTGAACCCTTGGTGACTTGTGTTCAGTTTAGCGCCTGAGTCACACTGTTACATAGTATCACACAGCATGACAAATTTCCAAAA